TGCCAGCACGGCATGACAGCTTAACGTACTGCACCAGAACACCAGCCCCAAGTAACTGCTTTGATCAAGACAATAAAGCATGTTGCTGGCACCAGCACTGTGGCATAGCAGGTGAATCCACTGCCTGCGGTGCCAGCCTCCCATATGGACACAGGTTCTAGTCCCAGCTGCTCTATTTCTGATCCAGCTTTCTGCTATGGCCTGGAAAAGCAGTGGAAGATGGCCCAAGTCTTTGGAGGACTAGGCTCCTGGCTTTGGATCGGAGCAGTGCCAGCCATTTCAGCCATTTGGGGAGTGAACCAGCAGATAGAGGACTTCTCTCTCTCCTTCCCTCCCTCTCTCCCTCTCTCCCTCTCTCCCTCTCTCCCTCTCTCCCTCTCTTCCTCTCTCCTTCTCTCTCTCCCTCCCTCCCTCCCTCCCTCCCTCCCTCTCTGTAACTCTGCCTTTCAAATAAATAAATGTTTTAAAATAAATAAATAAATAAATAAAGCATATTGCTTAGCCATGCTTCATTTACTTCCTTTAATCATTAAAATATTCTCAGGAGACAGGGAGAGGATATATTTTTGACTCCATTTTACAGAGAAGAAAATAAAGACTGAGAAATGTTAAGGAATCCTTCAGATCCTTGAATTTGAAATCTGATGTGTTTTCTTAGCAAATTGGGGGATTTCCCAACCCTAATCTAGATCACAAATTCTGACATGTTGAAATTCTCTTGTTTATCCTACCTACTGATATTTGCATCTACTGATTTACATTTTAGATTCCATGGATGAAAAACTAAAATGTGAAGAGGAAGCAGTCCCACAAACATGACACACTTGTGCTACCTTAGTACATTCATAACAAAAACACAATCAGACTAATGTTCAAAATCAATTCAAGCAAACAAGAGTGGCATAATTAAAGTCAGAGCCCCGGGCCTCTTTCCAAAAGAAGAAGATGGATTGAAATAACTTCCACCACCCCCTAAAAATATAATTAAATTAAATATGCATGCATGCTGTTGAGGAAAAATCATTATAACAGCCCCCTAAGAAAAAAAAAGTGTTTATTCTAATCAATTGAAAAAACTGTATACTGATTTTTCCCCTAACCATATAGCAATTGTGCAATCCAGAGAAATACAGCAAGTTAATGCTGAGGTTAAAATATGAAGGTGCCGATGACAGAAAACTGGATCGTTTGCGACAACCCTAGCAGCTACAACGTCGCAGTCATAATTTTCTCTCCTCCACATGCCATCTGCCCCCCACATGCTTCCATCGCCTCTGAACCGCAAGTCTATACCACATCACATGATCTAATCACAGGGCTCTTTTTTTTTTTTTTTCCTGTTTGTACTAAAATTTCTTTTATTTGGGTAGGGGCAGACAGGATGTGATCGCAGGGATGATTTCTGGGTCCATGATGTTCTTCCTCAGGTCTTTGAAGAACACCACTTGCACTAACGAACGCTTCCTCCGCTACTACTGATGCGGCAATTAGGCCTTGCCGACGCCTGTGCGGCCGAGCGCGAGCCCCTGGGTAATCACGCCCGTTTCCCGGCAGCGCTGTCAATCAGAAGCTTGCTCGAGTGGCGTCTATTGACAGTTCTCAGCGTGGTGTGCTTGCCCACCCCCTCATCTTCCGCTTCCCGGTAATGCGGACTTTGAGCCTGCTGTTTTTTCATCACTGAGTGGAATTTCTCCATTTTTCTCTGCTTGTGTTGATTCTTTCCCCCTGCTTTATCCTTCCAAGGCTATCATAGAAAATATAGTATACAACAGGAATCCCCAGAGGGCTTCTAGGCTGTGGTTTCAATATATTATTATTCTGTTTCCATTTCTCTTTTTACCTCTAGACACCCCAAATCACAGCCTGCTGATCCCAATCATCTCTACTCCATGTGTTTCTCTATTTCTGACCGTGTATTTGGCATCTCCTCAGTATCCTCAGAGCCTTAACTAATTGTTGGCATGGAATTGAATTGTTCTCCCGACATCACAATAGTCCCTACTTTCAATTTTAATCAAAAATTGGTAAGTTATTATTGTGTATATTTCCGGGGTACAGTGATGCTATGTGTATACAATGTACAGTGACTAAATCAAGCCTAGTAACACATCTGTCATCTCAAATACCAAGTATTCCTTCTAAGACATTGTACCCTTAGACCAACATCTCCTGGCTTCCTCCAGCTCCCTTTGGCAGGGATGTTTCAAACCCTCCCAAATACCTCAGATCTTCTGCTCTTCCAGACAGTGGACACACTGGCTGGTTTGGAAAATCAGGCCCAAGCACGCTTAAAATGAGTTTACGTAAAGTATTTATGCTATTATTATTTTTTTTTTTTTGACAGAGTGGACAGTGAGAGAGAGACAGAGAGAAAGGTCTTCCTTTTGCCATTGGTTCACCCTCCAATGGCCGCCACAGCCGGCGCACCGCACTGATCCGAAGCCAGGAGCCAGGTGCTTCTCCTGGTCTCCCATGGGGTGCAGGGCCCAAGCACTTGGGCCAACCTCCACTGCACTCCTGGGCCATAGCAGAGAGCTGGGCTGGAAGAGGGGCAACCGGGACAGAATCCGGCACCCCGACCGGGACTAGAACCCGGTGTGCCAGCACCGCTAGGCGGAGGATTAGCCTGTTGAGCCGCGGCACCGGCCGTATTTATGCTATTATAACACCTCTTTCTCTTGCTTACTCAGAAAGCTATCAGCATTAGAAGCACATCTATTTCTACTGGAAACTCTATCTTTTTTATAAACTAAAAAGAAACGTTACTTGCTGCATGGTAAATTAAAGACAATGGCCAAGCACACTTAGAATTTTCTAGGCTCTATCTGTACTCCACTCCATCAGCACTACTGCAGGTACCTGGGCCTGAAAGTGAGTTTGCAACACACACACACACACACACACACACATCTGGCCATCCTCAAACTTACACTCAGAGAAACCTCAGCAGTACAATGTGAGAGGCACAGAGGAATGAGCCTTTGCACTCTACTGTCTACAAGTCCTGGGCCCTTGTTTCCCTGATTTAACCACCCTTGGCTAAGCACCTTCCTCACCCTGTCCATTCACAAGGAGCACCCAAGGCAACTGGAGATATCTCATTCTGGCAGCTTCTCCCTCATGTGCACAAATGTTGGGAGATGATTGCTTCTGATTAAATTTCTCCACATAAGAGGATGTTGACCAGCAAAAAAAGCATCACTAAGGAAAACAGTCTTCAATAAGAAACCAAAATGTCTTCCAACAAAATGGATGTTCGAACTACATTATTTGCTAAGATGGCGGCATTAACAATGGTATTAACATAGATAAAAGAGAAAACAATAGATCAACCAAAGAACAGAAACCGGCTATGGAAAGGGTGGGGAGAAATGTAATAATAGTGACTGACCTGTGATCAGCAGTGTGCTAAGCTCAGCAATGGGCATTCTCTTGTGTAATCCTTGCTGCAACTATGTGAGATAGGTCCTATTGTAAAACATACTTTGCAGAGGGAGAAGCTAAGGCACAGTAAGATAAGTCACCCAGCTAGGAAGCTAGGGAGCCAGGTCTCAGACCTAGATTTCTGACTCCAGTTCCCCCACTTTCAAGCAGTTGTTATTCCACCTACTCAGTCTCAGCTCAGCACTGTCCAAACAAGCAGGCTATAATGTCCCTGACCTCCAAATTTTCTTAGATAAACACCACTTGCTTTGACTCTAGCCATAAAACAGGCTTCAGGTAAGTTCCTCTGCATCATGCCAACAGGGTGGGTTTTGTGGGACACCTGCAAGTTTCTTTTCACTGTAAAATGATGATTGGCAGTTTCCTGCCTACCTCAGTTTCCTGAATGTTCAGGTGCCAAGAGCCAAGCCCTTTTCATCTGAGAACTCCCCAGCCCTCCAAACTGGGACCAGATGCTAGAATGTTTTAAATCTATCTAGTCATCCTTGTATAGTATGCAGCCTCCGACAGTTCCAACCTTCAATCTCTACTTTTTCCCTGCCATGGAAAAGGGATGAAGGGTGCCTGGGGTTTGTGAAGAAGAAAGAAGAGCACCAAAGCATTAAGGGAACAGAGGGATGAGTAAATGATTGCCCCATAGGCAGGTGTGATGAGAAATCCTCCTGCTTGGCTTTGAGCACTTGTGTGTCATTGTTCCTTAAAAAAAAAAAAAAAAACCCTCTATAGCATACAACATCCTGAAGTCTCACTAATGAAAATCTGCCTCTCCAAACAGGCAAGATTCTCAGCTAACTTCAACTAGATAAAGACTCTTTCCCTGGCCACGTATAGATTCACACCTTGTTCTGATGAAAGCTTATGTAGCTGACCACATGCCAGAAAAAATAAAGAGAGCATCATTATGATCTATAAATTACCTCTAGGGAAAGTAGAATAAATAGGGACCTAACACTCACTCTATTTTTCCACATATGGTCTGAAGTCAACACACCACAATATACAAAACACATGTCACTGCCACTTATTATGTATTATGCACAGTGTTCACCCAAAAAACAGAGGTTCTCCACTTTCATCCAAACCTTGGTCTGAAATTGGATATACAACTTGTCTATAACCCTCCAATTTATACGCCATTCCCTTTCTATGTAAAGCATGATGGTTTATGTGAGTCCTTTCACCATTCTTGCGAAGCCTCTACTTTCACTGGGAAGGTAAAGAGGGCTGCTGAAAAGTCAAGTGAAAAGCAAAATTGAAACACAGTTTCCAGGCTCTGCAAGGTGTACAGAAATGGCTCCTTGCCTTAGTGAAGCTGTGAACACAGGTTGTAAATGTAGCACTTGGCATGTGGCCTGCAGATCTCATTATTTTACAATTATACCCAGATGTCAAGCATTAGTGTTGGCATTTAAAACCTACAGAGTTGGTTGAGTGTTTAAAATGGTTCATGTCTGCCTGCTGCAAGAGTGAAAGTGAAGAGAAGACAGGCCTGTTTAACACAGCATGTGTTTTTCCTAACTAGCCAGCGACAAGAAAGAGTTATACAAGGTACTTACTATTTATAACCCATGGCCACATCCACAAAATACTTTCTTCTCTGTCGATAGACATTGTCCTTAAATCCCTTAAACAGGAAAGAGATTAAGTTATTTAACAAAGTTCTGAAAAATTAGCTGCAGAAGGCCTAAAAGAAAATCACTGTGGTGTTTACTGAGTGTTCCATTCAAATGTAAATCTTATCCTGGGATGACTATCCTAATGGCACAGGCAGAAGCGAATTGTGCTTACAGTAAAACCTCCTTAAACTTGGGCTGTACTAATTCGAGATGTGTGGACCTTCTGGCTACAATTTACTTTTCCACTAAATAAGCAGAATGGCGTGGTTAAGCAAGTTGATATTTTGGACAATATCTTTTGGTTTTCAAGTATCATCTACATGTAATTGATCTTAATCAGAAATTAAACTGTTCATTAAAACAGGTTCCTTTAACATGGTTGCCCTGTGAGTTAACCTAATTTGAATTGTTTTGTGTAAATAGCTAACAAATGAAACATTTAATAAAATTCCATCCCTTGGAAGAATACTCATCAGGATGCCCCCCCATCAATATGAATTAAAGAGGTTTTGCTGTATTTCATGACTGTAGACACACACTGCACAATCAATCATAAGGGAGTCATGCACAAGGTAGCAAGTTAGCTTCATTCCACTTGGAGTTCCTGTACTTCTAATTAGAATTCTAATTAGTATTAGCCAATGTCAAGTGTTTTATCCATCATCACCACTTAATAGATTAAACAGCATGCCTGTCATTTTTCAGTCAAGTGGAATTCTTTGGAGTGGACTTCTGGTTTACCCAAGAATCTTCCCCTCTTGTCAACAGACTTTCCTTTTTCCTTTCCCTCACATACCATAAGATAGTCCTTCCCAGGTTGTTTCTTCAAGCTGTTGGAATCCAAGAAGGAACTGTTTCAACTGAACTTGTCACCTCTACAAACCCAAGGAGAACTAGAAGTAACAGCCACTGAAAATGGAGCCCTGGCAACACCACAAGTCACTGGGAACGTAGGGTCTGAGAGTAAAAGAGCAGGGACTGGGCCCACAACAGCCCAGACCATCTCAGCTCCAATGCAGACCTTTCTGTAAGGTGGGCTACTCAAGAGAATCTCAAAACTCACTAGAAAGTTGCCCATTCTCTCATCTGGCTGGACAAGAATTGGCCTTAAGGCCAGAAATCTTAGCATCACTTCTGTTGCCAATGACCTTTCTTTCAGGAGTGACAAGAGAGTTACTAATGGTGGGGAGAGAGAGAGAAAAAAATGCCCTGGGATAACCCTAATATATTGTAGAAATAAATTAACTTCAGACAAGAAGTTAGAACATTCTTTCTTGTGCTGTGAACTGGGGCTTCTAAGAAAATTTGTGAAGTCCTATGATTTCTATATTCAAAATCTTGTGACCAGAGTTAGCACATTCACCGAAAAAGTCTCCTGTGTTGTAGAGGACAAATACAATCTCACTAGAAAGCACTGGTTTTGATACTCAATAGTAAAAGCCAGCCTACCTGGGATGGGGAAAACGAAGAATTCCAGGCACCTTCACTAGTCAAAAAGAAAGTGGGCCATGAAAAAAGGAAGGGTCCTGTGAAAAGCGCAGCATCTGTTCCCTGGCTCCTGCCAGACTGGACACCATGGCAACAGCATCACAGTCTGCTGGGCTTCCAGAAGAATCTCAGCCCTCTCTCCTCAGCAAACACCTGCACCTTTTCCAGGGATGCGAGAGAGTGATTTCCTCATCATGCCTCATTAACCTAGTGTGGTGCTGATTATGCGAATGCTGTGCGCGATCCAGAGCTTCCTGGATTGAACCATGCTCTGGCAGAGGAAGGGTTGCTGGCTGCTTCGGCGATTACAGAGACCCGGCATTCCTTGGCTGTTCATTCTGAACTGAAGCCAGGGACAGAGTTACCAGATAAAATCCAAGATGCACAATTAAATTTGAATTTCAGATAAACAATGTGTAATTTTTTAATATAAACATGTTCTGAGTATTTCCTGGGACACTTAGACTAAAAAATTACTTGTTATCTTAAATTTAACTGGGCATTCTATATATTTATCTCTCTGGCAATGCTTGTGTCCAGAGAGTACCTGCTATGCAAGCCCATCTTCCCCTCCCTCAGTTTAAATCAAAGAGAACTGAAGACCCAGCCTGAAACCTAAAGTCTTGGCTAAACTTTTGTTAACACTACAGTAGCTCTTCCAAAAGCTGGAACCTGGTGGCATATTAGAATCACCCGGGGAGCTTTAAGTAATACTCCAAACCTGGCCACGTTCCCGGAGGTTCTGAATTAAAATCTCTGGGGTGGCCGGCACTGCGACTCACTTGGCTAATCCTCCGCCTGTGGCGCGGGCACCCTGGGTTCTAGTCCCGGTTGGGGTGCAGGATTCTGTCCTGGTTGCTCCTCTTCCAGTCCAGCTCTCTGCTATGGCCCAGGGAAGGCAGTGGAGGATGGCCCAAGTGCTTGGGCCCTGCACTCCCATGGGAGACCAGGAGGAGGCACCTGGCTCCTGGCTTCAGATGGGCGCAGCGCACCGGCCATAGCGGCCATTTGGGGGGTGAACTAACAGAACGAAGACCTTTCTCTCTCTGTCTCTCTCTCTCACTGTCTAACTCTGCCTGTACAAAAAAAAATCTCTGGGGTAAGGCCCTGGCATCATCTTTTGTTGTTTTTTGGTTTTTGTTGTTTTTTAATTTCCCACGTGTGATTTTAATGAGAAGCTAGGGCTTAGAATCATGAGTTAGGACATTAGTCCTCAAACCTCAGAGCTCATCAGAATCTTTTTAAATTCCTGGGTCCATCCTCAAAAGTTCAGATTCAGAAGATTTCAGATGAGCCTCAAGACACTGCATTTTTAACTTGCGCCTTAGAAGCAGACCTTGAGCTACACTTCGAATGACCTTCCCACTATTCCATACGTGGCTCAGACACTCACTCCACTGTGAGCATCAACTGGGAGCTCAGAAAGCGCAGAATCTCAAAGCTCTATAGAACCACTATCTGAATTTTTGAGAGACACTGACATAGATATTTAACCCTTTCTAGGGAGCCTCAGCCAACTGACTCATCTTCCGAGCCCTTCTGAGCTAGGCAATTGCAAAGGTCGCTGTGTCTCTCTCAGGACAGGGATTATTCTCAGGCATAACAAGTGCTTAGACAACTTTTTCCATTCTCATCAAATAATAATTTACAAACCCATCAACTTACCAACATCAAATTTTACATAATGAACATTTGGTGTACTTATAAAAGAAACATGCACTTTTTAAAAAATGACAAGAGAGCTAGGGAGTTGCTAAGTAATTGCAATTATTTCAAGTGGCTTCACAGAAAATAAGAGAAGGTATCATAAGGTGGGTATAATTAGCAGTAATGGAATAGAATTAAGCACAGGAAAATTTACATTTGGTATTGGAATAAAGTGTTTTCACAGCCAGGTCAGTGGTACCTGTGGTTGTTCCATTGAAATGCTAAATAAACTCTTTTCTCCACGTTGAATAATTTTCAAACTAGAGCATTTGGAGATAGGAGGTTATGAAAAAATCCTTTCCTGTCCAGGCATTGTTCTGAATAATTTAATACAGTATTTCTCTTACTGGAATTAAGTATTTGCTCTTGCAAAAATGTCTTCCAGTTGTTTTATTAACTAGGTTTTTAAATTTTCCATTGAGGTCAATAAGAATTTATTCTCACTTTTTACACAATGAATTTGAGGTATGGAGGTAGAAGGACTTGGCCAAGGTCATTCCACAAGCTAATAGCTGGCATCTGTGCAGACCAACGAGTACTGCCAATCTCATAAATCAGGCTTTGGTGCTCATTTTGACTCCTCTGGGGTGGGAAGAAGGGCAGATGACAACAAACAGATGTGCATCAAAGACACTTCTGAACATTTTTCTAATGTGAATTACCATGACATGTTCTGCAGTTTAAGACTATGCAGGCCAATATACTGTGTCTTTGAGTGAATTCACCATTTTGAAAATAATTCATTTGAATTCACCTTTTTGAAAATAATTCAGTAAATAATGTTCTGCTTGACCATTGTTTGAATGGCATTCTTTAATTGGTTTGAAGTGGTACCTTCCGCCAAATTACTGCTTTGACTGAAAGTTTCCCTACTGCTGAAATCATCATAATTTCCTTGAAAACAGTGGTTCTCAAAATTGTGTGGACTGTTGAAACAGATTCCCAGGCGATGCTAAGACTGCTGGTCCCAGGACCACACTGAGAGAACCACTGTCTAACATAAAATTGCACGATCAGGTTCCCAGATTTCCTCCTTTTAAAGAGCATAAGTAGCTGTAAATACCGTCAGACCACAAGGGCTTTTTATAAGCATGACTGATCTGCGTGGATTTCACCCTCTCATCTGCCCATTTTTAGACAAGTGGCACCAGGGGAGAAAAGAGGCCTGTAATGAATGGCTACATTGCTTATTGCTCCCTGACTACTAACTGTACTTCATTCTGACCACGAGAAGTTCCAGGTCTCTCATGTTAAATAAAAACTGATGTAAAGGAGTGGGGGAGAATAATGGAAATGCTTACTCAACCATCATATTTCTTTGAAGGTGGTCATTTTATTGCAGTAGAGGAGAGAACGATGGGAGATAGATTCAGGGTGGATGTGGGAAGAGACATGAGTTCCATCTTGGCCTTATTCTAAATTCCTCTGCCTTTCCACTGAGACCGTAGTCAACCGCATTACTCTACTCCTAACTACCTCGAGTCAAGGAAAATAGCAAGAAGAATTTTACTCTCTCACTGAGTCCCATCATGCCTAGTCTGCCCTGGTTCCCCAGGGTGTGATCAATTTCAGTTCATCGTGTTTCCAAGGGTTACCATCTCCAGGTATATTTCAGGCTGTCTAATTCCACAGAAATATTGTCCAAGGTTTAGAATCTCCTCCTGTATCCAAGCCTTTTACAAATAAATGCTGCGTGAAAATGCTATCCTTCTAACCTGCTTCCAGCCAACACAAGAGTACAGGGAAGCTTTATCATTCGAAAGTCTGCTCTCGGGTATGGGTAATAAAAAAATAAATTGTTCTGCAATAAAGCATGGCGACACACAACACGGCACATCACTTGGCCCATGGACAGAGCTGAGAAAGAAGATGTAGAATGCATTTTACCGGACACTTACTGGGTGATCGGCATCAAGCTCAGAGCCATACATGAGAACTCTGTGAGAACATTTGTCTAACTCAGAGATCTTCCGAGGGAACCAGGGAACATCCTCTAGCTCTGTTAAAAACACAGTGCACGTTCAAAAATATTAGCTCACAGATTGCATTTTCCCCTTTGCAACATTTGTCAGATTGTGAAATCACCCAGCAAACAAAAATCACCCTTGCCTTCTTCCTCGGTCCAAATGTTCTCCGGCGGATTCAGTGTCACAATTGTGGTTTGAAATTTCAGCAACTGAATGAGCTCATTGAATTCTGTTTTGCCACACTCACAGTCTACAAAGATTTCAACCTCAGAACTTCTTCGCCGGGATTTTCTGGATTCGATATGAACCATGTTGACATGTTTTTCCTGTGAAAACATAAACAATATCTCTAAGCCACTCTCAGGTCACAATAAAAGAGACATCACCAGCTTTTCTTGTTCAACTCTCAAGCAACAAAGTGTCAAATGCCCTCAAAAGAGGAAAAGATAATCTCCTTGTTCTTTGACTAAAATGTGGATCTGTTTCCAGCCACTGTCTCCATTAGTTACAAAACTCTGTATTCACATCTCTGTGTATAAGTTGTCCTGTCTCATTTAAAAAAGAAAGGGGGCATTTGCAATATATAAAGAGCCCTATAACATGCATTATAATTATGAACTCATCCTTTCCTGGGGTAGTCTACAACCCACTAGCAGAACCTGATTATCTCAGGAAAATTTGTTTATTATGTTATCATGGTAATAGTATGTTTCTAGAAAATGTAGCTGAAACTCAAACTCCTGATTGAATAGTGATATAAAGCATCTTTTAAAAATATGTTTAAAAAATGAAGCACTCATTTTAAAAATAAGAAAATAGTGTGAGTGGCAGCCAGAGATGGGGAAAGTAGTATGCAAATAACTGAGGCTTGGGGAATACTGACCCAGCCTTAGCCCTAATTGTAAGAAAAGCAAACTCAAGACTGTGTTCATCCAAGGATGCACTGCAGCTACTCTCAGCCTCTGCTGGATCTCAGAGGTTAAAAGCCTCTAATAGGGGCTGGCATTGAGGAATAGTGGGTCAGACTGCTGTCTGAGATACCAGCATCACATATGAGCACTGGTTCAAATCCCAGCTGCTCCATTTCCTATCTCACTCCCTGCTAATGTGCCTGGGAAAGCAGCAGAAAATGGCCCAGGTGCTTGGGCCCCTGCACCCGCCTGGGAGACCCAGAAGAAGCTCCCAGCTCCTGGCTTTGGCCCATTACAACCTTACCATTGCAGTCATTTGGGGAGTGAACCAGCAGATGAAGAATATCTCTGTCTCTCCTTCTCTCTCTGTAACTCTACCTTTCAAATAAAGAAAATAAATCTTTATCTTAAAAAAATGCTTCTTAACAGTAATGTGTTTGAGTGAGGGCAATAACTAAATATTTAAAATCAGGTATAGGGGTGGGTGCTGTGGTGCATCAAGTTAAGCCACTGCCTACAGTGCCAGCATCCCATATAGGCACTAGTTCAAGTCCTGGCTGCTCTACTTCCAATCCAGCTCCCTGCTAATGTGCCATGGGCTACATGAGAGATCTGGAAAAAGCTCTTGGCTCTGGCTCCAACCTGGCCCAGTCCCAGCAGTTGTGGTCATTTGGGGAGTGAACCAGTGGATAGATCTATCTCTCCCTCCCTCCTCTTTTTTTGTAACTCTTTCAAATAAATAAAATATTTTTTAAATCACATATAAATTTCCCTAGTGATACTTTTTCTTTCCTCTTCATTAATTAAAGATTAAGCTCTCTTCTCCACCCCAACCAACTCCCAAATAAGCAGACAACTCCCCATCACTCCAGATGATACACTCTGATTATCAGAATGATTCCTGATATAATCCTGAGTGATCTAAAAGTTTTCAGCACGAGAGCAAGAGTTTTGTGGGTTTTTTTTTCCAGTGCTAGACTAGAATCAAGACAGACCGTACTAGGACCAGGAAAACAAATATTCAACTTCTGTTTTTATTAACCTTTGCAATAATGCCACTTTTTCCAAGTTGGTTGATAACAAAAATAAGATTAATATAAAGTTCAAGAAGCAAGAGATTTCACATGCACTGTCACTTTGGGCTTTTAGTGCCCTTTGATCAAAGCAGAGTAGATATTCTTAGATGAGGGAACACAGGTCCAGATGGGCTAAGTGTGTTAGCTAAGGCCCCATGACCAGCTGATGGCAAAGTGAAAACTCAGGGCTACTAACTCCTTCTCCAGGGATTTTCACATTGCACTCAGATGTCTAACTGAATTGGTTTGCCTTTGGGCACTATGTGGATGCGGCCCAAGATGACATGATTATGTATAAAATATCACTCTAAGTTTCCAATACAGCTGTTGATGGTACCTGATCTTTCTTCAGGGTCAAAGAGAACAAGGAAATACTTGCCCAATCAGCCTACTAATTCCTCCTTCTCTATGATCATTGCAAAGTCATCATAATAATGCCCCATATCTGTATACTTTAAAAACACTTTCACTCATATTATTTCATCCCAACAATACTATTAGGAAGGAATTATTATTGCTATTTTACAAATGAAATTTTGATTAGCCAAGCCCGAGAGCACAGGTCTGAATTCTCAGAGTTGAATCCCAACCATCTTTCCGCTGTACCAGCTCAAGTCACCCCACAGAACCTGGTTCGTATCTTAGGACTCTAATCAACAGCTGGAGACCTCAAACAAAAATATGACTGAAGGGTGGAGGAGCCATCATCAGGTGTTTACTTGTAGAAAAACATTAGCTTTTCTGGGGGTTTCTGGCCTCACCTTCACCTAGACTCCCTCTTAAAGGGTCAGACCACAGATCAGGGCCTGAGAGGGTGCAACTGCATTTCCATAAGATAAGGAGAAAGCTAACCTCATAAGGAGAGTCACTCATGTTCACAAAAAAGACACACTAAGTTCACAAAACAATGAGGTTTAGGGGAATACCAAGTGTCTATACTCATGTGTCTCACATCACAAAATAAATGTACTCTAGGACATGTGTACAATTCCCATTTTAACAAATCAAATGAAGCTGCAGGCTCTGATGTTTAAAGATACCCTGTTTGTCTCCTTTTGTGTTTGCTATTTGAGGTGTGAAGATTACATTTCTGAATTACCAACTTTCTCACTTGGTGACAGAGTGCAGAGTTCCTAATACACTAACTCTGAATTAACAAATCACAGTTGATATGAGCCTGTTTATTTCATTGTTTAGCAAACTCTCCTTGTAACCCCTTGTGAACCTTGGTTCCTCTGAATCTTTCACCACATTATCCCAAAATTGATTCAGTGAAGTTTCATGGCAGAGGCCAGGTTTGTAGCCAGACACATAGTCACTTCGAAAGTAACGTAATGATATTTTACATTCACCTGGAAGAGCCTCAGAGCTCTCACCAATCCGCCAACTTCATTTTTCAAGGAGAAGACCACTGCTGTCTTGCCACTTTCAGTAGTGCTTTCGCTTTTGTTGCTTCCCTTGCTGCCTTTCTTGTCATCACTTTTGCCAGAAGTAGCTTTGTTGAGCTTCAAGAAGGTAGACACACAAAAAAATATATTAATGAGGATTCCAGAATTTTCCTTCATTAGATATTCTTCTGGATAGTCCATTCATATACTGGAAGTCCCATCAATCATACAAACTCAAAGTGAAGCTGCCATGTCACTCATAATTTTCAGTCATAAATATTGCTCTAATTTACACTGGGATATAATTACCTTAGGGTTCTAGAGCATCATCTAGTGGTTGAAATGAATGGGAGGTCAGATTTGCCTCACTTTTATAGCCAACAAAAATCTGAGCATCATTACATATAATATATCATGCATGAGTAATCTCTGCCTTTCTTTCCAGACTTCTTTTACAGCACAGAATCTGATCTTTTAGGGTAGTTGAACCTTATGGAGAATACTTTCATTATTAAACATAACAAGAATAAGGCAATAACAATATATTTTGACAACAGTAATTTTAGTTTTAATCTCATCTTAAAAGCAATATATTCATTTCTCTCTGAAATACATTAGGACAAGCACTGAAACTGATAAACTTATTTTATGCACTTAGATCCACATTGTCACTATCCATTGTCTGTGTGAACCTCCTTGCCCAAGGAGTGTATTTAACAAAGACCATCTATGTCAGAAGCCATTATTTGAAAAATGATTGTTAAAATTCAACCACAAATAAAAGGAAAAAATAAAGGAGGAAAAAGTAGCTACCCACCTGAGAAAGATCAACACTTTATTAGCCACTCCATGTTTTATTATTCACAATTAAATAATGGTCATGTTGGCTAAAGATGAAAATGACAGATTCTAGCAACTCAGGCCACATTGTCAGAAGTACAAAATTTAAAAATCTGGAACTTTTCATCTGACAGACAACACAAAATTATGATGATCTGTTTTTGTTCATTATATGCAAAAGCAGAGTTGAGCAAATGGAGAATCATCTCCCTAGCAAATGGTGATATAATATAATCACATCCATCTATTACATCCCCACAAAACTGAGAAGTGTGGATTTGATAAGGAACCCAGTGAACAGTGATTTGCTATTGTCTTCCTCTGACTTCTCTATTGGCTCTCTTTTCACACATTACTATTGCCTCAGTCATTAGATATACATTTATAACAGAAATGGATATTTTATTATTTATGACTTTGGGGAGACAAAGTTTATGCAGACATTGACATTTGACAGTATGTTTAATCATTAGAAGCTCAAATGTCTTAGAACTTAGAACATCTGCCTCTTTCTCACCATATAACAAACAGATCTCATCTATTCAAGCAGCATTTTTATATGAAAGGGTCATACATTAACCATAACTCTGAGTTGGCTTTGTTTTCCTTCAAGCTGTTCATTATGACTGCAAAATTCTTCAGTGTAATGTCTCATCCAAATATTCATGATTTCTAAGTATTAGGAAGTCTATTTACATTATTGGTCTCATTTTTTGCAAATTGATTTAATAGTTCTACAAGAGTTGCTGTGATTACTTTTCAACATTTTTAGCAATAACAGTGTCAGTATAATGTGACCCTCTGGCATACATTTGGAGCTATGATATTAAAACAGATTTTTTATACTAGAAACAGAATGAGAATTGGTTGATAAACTCTGAAAGGGTGGTAATGAAATCAACATTTAATATTTTTAACAACTGGGGGGCCTGAATACATTTTTATTTGCTATTTGTCTTAAATACTATGACTATTAGCTCAATTTGGGATCTAAACTCTTGAAAATATTGGTTTTTAAAATTCTGTCAATATTTTAAATATAAAACTCCCTGAAATATTGAAACAAGTAGTATATTGCTTTCATTACTCTATCAATTAAACCAAAAAGACAGAGTAACGAGGAATGCAGGAAAACTTGCAAAAGCAGCTCCTTTTTTATTATAACCTAATCTTATAGCCAATAATAGAAAATATTAGTCATGTATTTAAAGACCAAGTGTTATAGACTGGCAGGGATGGTGGAGGCACAATGATCTTGTGAGAATCATAAAAATCTAATTCCTTCTCCTCATTCTTCATAACAAATGGACTTTCAAAATTTTACATATTGTTTTTGGTTGTGGATATAGGACATTGATTCATACAACCTCTTGTTCTATTTGAGAGAGTTTTTCTTTAATCTACTTAGAAACTTTAAAGAAAGGAAGTGAAGCACGTAGCTGTCAGTACACCTGCTGATAGGGAGAAAGAAGAAAGACTGGAAGCAAACAGCAACTCAGCAGAGTAGATAGATGATAAAGGAGGAGGGAATTGAGGTGTGTGCTTATTCTACACCCATGTCCACATGGTGAAGATGACCACTTACCCTAGAAAACACTACAGAGTGCCAGATCCTCAGTACTTACTGTTAAGTTGCCAAGTAGCTGATGTTCTTCTGGCACTGCTGAATCCAGAGACAACCCTCTCCTTGCCCAATATTTACTGGAAAACATCATCATTGCAGGCTGCATGGATTCCGATGTAATTTTCTTTCTCTGCAGCAGGGGGGACAAGAGGGGCAGTAGAGCGCTGGCAGAGAGGAGGGAAGGATGCGAGACCAGCCACCTGCTCGAGGAGCTGTCCAGAACCTGGGTGCTGAAAAGCAATGAGAAGCCTTCCCTCCCTGGCTCCTTTATATGAGTGACTGGGGACTGATGGAAGCCTGATTAGAAAGAAACTCATTTCTGGTTGCCGATGGCCATGGTCAGATTACAGACCTGAAGCCCGAGGTTATCTGTCCTCGTGGTGCGATTTGTTTCATAGCCGGAGTTGCTGTTACAGCGGGGGTGGTGAAGAACAATACATAAGGGGATGTCATTTGTACAAGCCAACATCTGTCCCGTGGTGTTAGCTGTCATCTCTCAAGCCTACTATCAGCAAATTAATCTCAGAATTTTGGTTATATGAATTCAAAGGGTTTTTACTTTCTTTGCAAAACTAGGAGAATAATTTAAGAAAGGTCATCACTGCTGAATCTTTAAGCCATTTTATGTTAGTAAGTTTTTTCCTGACTTAATGGCCTTTATGTGTATGTGCCTGCATGTATTTAATGGCTTTCATAAAAGGTACTCCTTCTTAATCTTGTGGTGCCTCTATCCAATCATACAGCAAAGAAAATGTGATGCTTTGATTTAAACACATATAGATATAGCTCAGACACTAACTCTAGAATCATCCTAAGTGAGAAATAAAAGGAAATTAAATGACTATGCATCAGTCATTTCTTTGATGTGCTTGATGGCTACTGAATTTTTCCTGTTTCTGACTAGATCAAATCTAACACTTTGACGTGTATAGATCAATCAATATTCCTACTATTCAAACTTCAGAAAGTCATAAAATTCACCCATGACACAGGACAATATTACCAGTCTCCTGAAAAAATGGAAAAAACTATTCAGCAAATGTGCTTGACTGAAAAACTTAACAAAATCAGAGACTGACACTGCTTGTCTATATAGAAAAAAAATGAAAAATTTCAAAACAGGAATGAATAGTACTGGATGGATTTTAATCATTCTTGCCTTGCAGGACATGATTGTGATTTGATCTAATTCTAGAAATATTTTGGTTTGCATTTTCTCTAAAGATCAACTCTGATCAGCTAATAGGGAAGGCAAATTTAAATAAGTAGATTGATGTCATGATAATAATAATAGTTAAAATGACTGAGTGCCATCTTCTATTCTAATTACTTTCTACATACTTTTGTAAGCCAAGAAGTGATTCAACAACATCACAACACCATTTACAAGGCATTCCCTGTTATTTCTGTTTTATATATGGAGAAACTGAATAACATAGAATTTAGGTAATTTTCAAAGAGTCACACAATTAAAGAGTTGCCAAAGTAGAATATTTTTAATTTTGTCTGAAAGGCAGAGTGACAGAGGAAAGGAGAGAGAGAGGAGGGAGGACAAAGGAGAGACAGAGTGAGATTCAAAAGGAGAGATAAAAGAGAGAGAGAGAGAGAGAGAGAAACTTCCATCTACTGGTTTACTAAACATTCATAGCTAGGCCAGGCCAAAGCCCGAGAACCAGAGCCAAGAACTCCATTCTGGTTTCCCATAGGGGTGGCAGTGGCCCAGGTACTTGGGCCATCTTACTGTCCTTCCAGGTCTATTATCAATAAATTCTATCAGAAATGGAGTGACCAGGACTCAAATTGGCCCTCCAATATAGGATGTCAGCTTGATTTGTACCACACTGCACCACAACGATTCCCAAGGTAGGATTTAAATTCAGGCAGTATGGCTCCAAAATCCATGCTCTCAACCATTACATTCTGTGATCTCTTGATTATTTCAAACATGAAAAATGTGTTAACATAAATAGGCACCACATACAATACCTAGATTATTTTAGCTACAATGCAGTTTAGGAGAACGTGTGATTCAACAAAGATTTGCTGAGGACTCACTTTGTGTTAGGCATTTAAACTGAATCCTGGAATGAAAAGGTAAAATACAGTGCCTACCCTCAAGGAGAACACAGTTCAACTCAAAGAAACATACATGCAGAAAATTAATATGAAATAAAGCATTTTGGCTTCTCCACAGGAGACATAAAAAACACAAGACATACCTTGGGGAGTCGGGAGAGGCTACTAGGATAAATTGCGTGTGCTGAATCTTCAAAAGTGAGTTTGTCAGTCTAAATGGAATAGGAATACTAAGAAGATCATTCCAAGTAGAAGGAACAATATAAGAAAATACACAGAGGGAAAAAAAAAACTGTTGTTGCTTAGTGATGATGGAGTATAGGTTTGGGACAAGAATGTCCAAATAGATAAGACTAAAGAGGAAAGCAGAATACAGATTATTATCAACATTGATTAACAATATGTAGGATTTGCGTTTTTTCACCTTTCTCTATAGGTAAAAGTCAATAATTGGAAGGGCTTCCTGCAGGGCAAATGTATAACAATAATGATATTTTAGAAAAGTGGCACCTTGAAATTAGACTTCAAGACTGACAACAGGGGTCGTTGTTTTGGTGTAGCAGGTAAAGCTGCTGCCTGGGATGCCAGCATCCCATGTGAGCATTGGTTCATGTTCCAGCTGCTCCACTTCTGATCCAACTCCCTGCTAATGGCCTAGAAAAAGCAGTGGGAGATGTCACTAGTGCTTCAGCCGCTGCTATCCATGTGGGAGACATGGAAGAAACTCCTGGTTCCTGGCTTCAGCCTCGCCCATATTGGCCATTGTGGCCATCTGGGGAGTAAACCAGCAGATGGAAAAATCAATCAATCAATCAATCTCTCTCTCTCTCTCCTCTATCTCTTCCTCTCTCTCTGTAACTCCGACTTTCAAATGAATAAATATATCTTTACAAAAAAAAAAAAAAACTGATGGCAGAAACCATTTCGGATTTGAAACAGTCTACCCAGGAGATGAAAACTGGATTAAGGCAATAGCATTCTGCATGCAGTTAAAAGAACCAGAGATGTGAATGATAAAACCTGTAGGACAATATCCATGCCTAAATGTGAGATAGGAAAAGATATTAAATGTAATTTATTTAAGATAGTAAAGATGTAACTACTTTTGCTCCTTCCAAAAACCCTATTATATAACAAAATAAAGGATTTCCTGTTTTTCTTAAATAACACAAGAACAGTGTAAACTGGAAAACAGGGGGAAAAAAGCATTAGAAGCTTGAAAGGAGATGAAAGAGTGATTAAAGGCTTTATACAACAGAAAGCTGAACCTTAAGCTATCAATGAATAATGTCAAAAAGCAACTCAATTTATACTACAGAATCTACTAAAGACTTAAATACCTCTGGAATTCAGAGTAAACAAAGGAGATCGAAAACAGTGGTCCAAAGTCTAAAAAACAGACCATTTCAAAACTTCAGTAATCAATACAATGCAGTATTGTGTAAGGATAGATATATAGATAAATAGAATAGAATTGAGAGGACAGAAATAAACCTTTACATTTAATGTCAATTGAATTCCAACACAGGTGACAAGCTAATTCAATAATCTCACTATTCTTGCTGGAAACAATGTTTTCAACAAATGTTTCTGGGGCAACTTTAAATATCCACATGCAAAACAATAAAGCTGCACATGAAAAAATAACTTAAAAGGGGTCATAGATAAATTTAAGAGGTGAAACTAGGGACAGACCTATGGTGCAGTGGGTTAGGCCTCCCAATCAGAGTGCCAGTTCATGTCTTCGCTGCTCTGCTTCCAATCCAGCTTCCTGGTACTGCAGCCTCGGAGACAGCAGATGCTTGGATCCCTGCCACCCACGTGGGAGACCTGGATGGAGTTCAGGATCCTGGCTTTTGCCTGGCCCAACAGCAGCTGTTGTGGGTATTTGGGAAGTGAGCCAGAAAGTAGAAGACCAGTCTCTCTCCTGATCCTCCCTATATTCTCCTTTCTCCTTTTCCCTTCCCTATCCTTCACCTCCCTTCTCTCCTCTCTCCTCCCCTCCTCTTTTTTCAAAAGAGCTAAAACTATAAAATTCTGAGAAGAAAAAAAAAAAGTAAAGAAATAAATCTTCATATTTTGGATTAGACATGACACCAATCACAAACACTTTAAGAAAAAAATACATAGGATTTAATTAAAATTAAAACCTTTTGGGCTTCAGAAGACACCATCAAGAAAGTGAGAAACAGCTCACATAATGGGAAGAACTATTTGTAACTCATACAACTTGCAGCAGAGAATATCTAGAATAAAGAACTCTTACAATTCAGCAATGAAAAAAATAGGCCAACTTTTAAATGGGCAAAGGATTTGAAAAGGTATTTCTCCAAAGAATACATGCCCAATAATCCATCTTTACAAGATTTTCTGTATCATTAGTCATTAGAGTATTGCAAATAAAAAAAAAAAAAAAACAACGCTATACAGCCAGCATCATGGCTTACTGGGTAAAGCTACCACCTGAGATGCTGGCATCCCATATGGGCAGCAGTTAAAGTCCCAGCTGCTCCACTTCCAATCCAGCTCCCTGCTAATGGCCTGAGAAAAGCAGTGCAAGATGGCCCAGATGTTTGAGCCCCCGCCACTCATGTGGAATACTGGGAAGAAGCTCCTGGCTCCTACCCAGCCCAGCGCTAACCATTCTGGCCATCTTGGGATGAACTGGCAGATGGAAGATCTCTGTTTCTCCCTGTATCACCATAAGCTGACTTTCAAATAAATAAATAAATCTTTAAACACACACACACACAAATAAGGTACCACTTCAAGCCAATCAAGATGGCTAATTTTAAAAAGATAAACAAGATAAAAAATGGTGGTGAGGAAGCAGGATATTTTGGTCCCTTGAATATTGTTAATGGTATTACACAATGGAGCAGCCCCTGGAAAACTGTTGGGTGGTTCCTGAAAATGAAAACATAAGGTTACCATTTGTCCCAATGTTTTTACTCCTAGTTGTAAGTTATATGGTATAGTCACTTCTGAAAACACATTTGGTGGCTCCTCAAAATGTTAAACCTGGAGGTACCATATAATTCAGAAATTTCACTC